GGACTCTAGAGTCCTTGGTCCCTCTGAGCAGTAGAAGACACCAGGAGCCATTGCTATCTGCAGCACCAAGGCTCTTTTATCAGTTCCTGGAAAAATACTTCTGTGGTCTGACAGCTCCCAGGGCTTATGCTTGGACTTCATTTCTTCAAGAGGAAAAAATACTAAATTAAATCTCTGGCTGCCCTTTCAGATAGAGATAATTAGTGCTGGCTTCTTGTCCCCTCTGTTCTCCTTCTTTAGTCCCTGTGACTCTGACCGCTCTGGATGTGCAGCTGAGCTGGCTCCTTCAGCCTCCCAGCTCTTCTGGTGATGCCCATGTGGGAGCTCGCTCCCTGCCCAAGAGGGGTGTCCTGGCTCTCCCTCCTTGGTTCACCCACCACAGGTTGCCAGTGGGTTTCCTCTTGGGGCATCAGAGCCCCTGCTGCCATATAAGCTGACTGGCAGCTCTCGTTGACAGCTCTGTTATGGTTGGCCAGGTGCCATTTGCATTTCTTTTAGCAACCTGTCATTTTTTGGCAGTTCCCTTATGCAGGTTTTCAGTCCCACTTTCCACTGGCCCATTCTTCCTCCCTGGTGTCCCTGGGGAGGGGGAGAACAGTGACAGGCAGGGGGTTACACCAGAGGTACACCAAGCTCACAATGCCTGGCCAGGCAGGCTGCAAGATCCCCTGGGCCTTTTCCTCCATCTTTGTATTTCTGTGTAGGGCACTTGGTTTCAAATATGACCAAGGAGAATGCTGTGCAGTGCTGGTCCTGATGGTGAACTTCTCAATTGGTAATTTTAAAGTAGTTGCTATGTGGTCAATTACTTGCAGGGAGTTTAGGAGCCAAATCCTTGTGGTGTTCATCGGAGTTCAGCCTTTTGTGTCTGCTGGTTTCCATTTTCTGTGGAGGATCAGATCTGATTTGCTTCTGCCCAGCAAGGGACAGGAACACAGGGAATGTTTGCTGTTAATGTGAATGCTCCTCTCTGGCATTAAACAGCATCCACCAGCAGCTCTGAAACTGTTCCAGGGCCTCAGTGCCCCTGTGAAAAGCCATCAGGAGTGGAGAGCAGGTCTTGTTTCCTTGCTTCGGTCTTTGCTGCAGCTCTGTTCTGCTGGGAACTCCTCCTGCTCCATAATGTGGACCTGTGGCTTCATGGAATGAAGACAGGGGAGCTGGTGGCTAGGAGAGGAGTGATGGGGGCTGAGGGTGTGTGTGTGGGGTTCTTTTCATGCCGAAAGCAAGATTTTGAGTGTATTTGAGTGACCTGAAAGCTCTGTACCCCTCCTCTGCTCTTTGCTCTAGTACTACAGATGCTGAGAGCTGCACCTTGAGGATTTCAGAACCACGGGCATGAATTTCAGCTGTGCTCCCTTGACCTATGGCTCAAATGAAGCTAAGGAGTGTTCAGTCCTGATGATTTCTCCCTCTTCCAAAGCTCAGCTTTGGCTCGTTGCCTTCAGTCATCAGACCTGGCTGTGCAGTTTGACATGATGTATGTACAGCAATGTAGGCCACAGTGGAGCAAGGGATGGAGGCTTTTGGGTTGGGACTAGGGCAGGGTAGGGCACCCTTTCCAGAGGGAGGAGAGCCGCAGGTTTCTGGGTTTCACCAAGTCAGCTAGTTCCCTCCATGATGCAGACCCTGCTGCTGGCCTGGGAAGGGCTGTAAATATTTAGATAGCTCTGCCTGCTGCTTTTGGCCAAGGGCCCAGCCCTCATGATGGGGTTGCAGAGCCCCCCTCCTGGATCTGGCTGCCCGCCGCCTCCCTGCCATCTGCTCAGCTCCCCCCACCCCTCGAGGAAACAGCAGAGTGGGATCTGAGCGACGGCAGTGGCCCTCCCATTCCCAGCAGTGCTCTCCATGTGTGCTCGTCCCCAAGGCAGGGCCCACTCCAGGCCCAGGAGATCCCCTCGCTCTTTCCATGGAAAAGGCCTGCTGGTGGTTACTCTGTGTTATTTCTTTGAAGGACTGTAGAAATCGGAGCTGGAGAAGACCCATGAAGTAACTGTTTCCACATGCCCTCACCCACACAGCTGGGCTGGGAAAAAGCCTGTCCTCAGAGCAGGGTTGTGGGAGCCACTGATGGGGTGGCTCCTACCGGGACAAAATTGGGTTTGTTTGAGATGTTGCTTCATGATGGATGCTCCTGACAGGATGTGGTGCAGTGCCAGGCCAGGAGGTAAAACTTGAGACCAAGTCCAATGTTTTCAAAACTGTCTCGATCATTGAAAGTGTCTTCCAGAAGCACCTGAGAAAGGGATGAGGGGGTGCCTATGGGAGCTTGGTGCCTTATCATCTCCAGTTGCTGTCAAAACCATTGCTAGGTGGCCAACTGCACTATTCACCCCTTTCAAAATCTGCACTTTTGTTGTTAGTTGAGGGAACCACCTGAGTTTTGCTTTCCGGTGCCTTTTTTGTCTTAAGGACAGCAGGGACTAGATTAAGTATTAGCAGAGATGAAGATGGTTTTAGCCAACAGAATACCTCAGTGGGATGGCAGAGTGAAGGACAAGGGATATTCACAGGGAGAGAGGAAGCCAGCTTTACTGAGGCAGTGTTTTTATAGATATTGAGGAGCTCCCATTCCTGTGGGCTTCCCCATCTTTTCTGCTTTCCACGTGTAGGTGAGGAGGTACACCCAGAGACCTTTCTGCTGTTCAAATGGGATGTGCCAGGAACTGTTATCCAGGCTCCAGGGAGATCTGCATTTCAGCAAAATAGGAGTGAGCTCATCAGTTGGGAGAAATGCCCCTTCCCTCAATTACAAAGGGTGTAATAAAGCATGGTGTACCCTTAAATCTCATGGCTTTATTACCCTTAAGAGCTTTGAATTAATTCTGGCTTGAGCAAATCCACATCCTGATTAAAATCCCAATCTAATAAGCTGTTGACTCCAAATAAAGGCAGGATAGGAATAAACAATGAAGAAAAGTTGGCTCTTCCCCCTGCCCCAGTGGAAGGCTTTCTCCAGGCAGGCAGCCAGCAGTGATATAACTTCGTGAAGTGCTGCAGACTGGTAAGAAAGCTGGGATATCAGCTGAGCTTCCAACCAAAATGAGCTCATGCTGACCTGCCAGCAAGTCCTGGGCTGAGGGTAATGGCAGCTTGGTAGCTTGCTGAGTGTCAAGTTAACACTTAGTTTGCTGATGGTATGGTGGTGACTGTATGGATGCTGTCAGATATTTCAGAGGCCACGTCATGTAACTTCACAAGTTTTCTTTGCAAACTGTGGCCAGTCAAGTTGTTGTCCCTGACTTGTTGAGGTCTGGAAGCATGTTCTTGAATGGATATTGTGCCTGACCCAGTGCAGAGTATTTGGCAAGCCATGTTTGGTGATAAGTAAGCATGGTGTCTGTAGCAAGTCATGATCTATCCAGATCTCTGTAGCTGCTACAGATGCTGTCACGCAGGAGCTCTCTGTCTTCCTTGTGTTAATATGCAGAAAGTGCAGGTCCTTCATTCTGTGAATGAAAGGAGATTGTGGTTAGCTGAGTAAGGCCTGTGAGGTGATGCCGAGTGATTCAGATTTTTTCTGGGAGAAGTTGGTGGTGCCTGTGACACTCAGCCAGCTCACTGCAAGTCAGCAAAGCAGTCACAGCTGTGTTTGGGCTGATCATCTGGTTTAAGAAAAGTACTCATTGAATTGCTGGATTGAAAATACTGAAGTTCTTTATTTTAGCTGTAAGTACTTGCTTAATCTTGCTGCCTCTTTTTCTGTCTTAATTTGGAAGTGGTTCTGCTGGGAAGTGTTTGTTGTTCTTCAGGAGTCTCCTCACCTTGGTAGGTGATGCTGTGTCAGCCCTCTGAGCAACAGAGTGACCTTTTGGTTAGATTTTTTAGTGCAGCATTCCAGTAGGTTTGATGAGCTCAAATAATTTAGTGTTGTGCTATCCGCTTGAATCTCCTGGTGTTTGAGTTTTGATATTGGGTTGGGATGTTGGTCACATTCCAGCATCTGGAAAAATAGTGTCTCTGTGGGAAGCCTTGTGAAACTTTTAAGGGATTCTGTTTTAAATACCAAAACTTCAGTATCTGAAGAGCCTTCACGCTTCATTATGTTAACTGGGGTCTGCTCACCTGAGCCTCTGAATGTTTTGTTCCTGCTTCAGTGAATTGATACATGAATCTCTGGTAGAAATAAGTAGGACAACAGTTAGAAGAAAAAATGAACGTGTCCTTGTTCTGCTTAGTCGATCTGTTATCAATTAGTGGAGACTGAGGTTTGCATCACTTGAGTGTTGTCAAGCTGGCATCTCCTCAAGGGTCATCTTTGGTTTCTGTGAGCAATGAGGACATCAGATAAGCAATTGCCCAATTCTGTTATTTGCTTGTTGACTTTCATAGAAGAATAAAAAAATTGCGTTGTTTTTTGGGGTTGTTTTGTTGGGTTTTTTTGCATTCATCACCATCATCACCTGGTCAAATGGTCTGTGAATAACCTACAATTACTAGGATTGATTGTGTAGCATTTTAAGGACTGGGAGGGCAATTTGCACCCCAGCAAGTTTAAGTAACCAAAACCTCAGAGCTGCTCATGGAAGAACAGACAGAGATTTGAACCTTGTGGGTTTGAGTTCCTGCAAGCCCCAGCCCTGGGACCAGGTGGGTGGTGCAGTGCACAGTGGGCTTTTGGGTTCTCAACATCAAACTTGATGCTGCAGCCATCGGTGGGATGGCCAAGGCATAGTTATTACCTTGTAATGTGTTTGTGTCTGGAGAGGCTTTCATTGTGTTTTTACTTGGAAATGCCCTTTCACATTCGATGTATGCCCCTATTTCAGGGTAGGGAGCTGACAAAGTTCGCAGCTAACAATAAGCATAGACAGTTAAGTTGCAGCAGTGGAGCTTAATAACTTAATCTTGCATGTTTTCTAGTATTGCTGAAATGACTTTAAGTGCTCACATGAATTTCCCTGGTTGATGCCCAGCCGTGGGGGCTGCGTTGGCAGCTTTAGGTTGTGGTGCAGGTGGTTGGGTTGTTCCTCTCTGATTTCTTCCTCTGTTCTCTGCAGGTGTACATTATCAAAGTCACCTGGTCCAATGGGTCCACTGAAGTCATATACCGACGGTACAGCAAGTTCTTTGACCTGCAGGTAAGCATTTCACCAGTTTTTAGGGTTTTGACTTCGTAAGGTTGAAAGCTGTGGTCAGTTGAGAAGTGTAGTTTCTGTCTTACGCTAAGCGTGCCTTTTGTAATCTAGCAGAAAATGTTTTGATCTGAGGAAACTTAAACACAATTTTGGACATCCTTGCAGAAAGTGAGAACAAGGCAACCTCAAAAGCCGGACTGTTCACTCCAGTGCCTCTTGGGGCTTTTGCATGTCCCAGTGTTAGAGTTTTGCTGTCACTCCCTGGCCTAAACACATGCAGGGCTGTGTAGGTGTGTTTGAATTTCTCCGACAGGAAATCTGTGCAAGTGATGGGTTTTTTGTTGGGTTGGTTTGTTTGCTTTGAGAGAGGCTTTTGTTAAAGTTAGGCCCAAATTCCATTCCTGTGGAGCTAATACCATGCCTTTCCCAGCTGCTATCACAGCACAACAGGGCTGCTGCTGAAAAGTGCTGATTCCCTGGATCTGTGTCTCACTGGCTGCGTTTTGGGGTGCAGGCACTGGGGAAATGCCCAGCACAGAGCAGTTCCAGTCTAGAGGGCAGCTGACAGCAGCTGCTTTAGCAATTACCTCCTGGTGCAGGGGGGAGCTGGGAAGAAAACGGAGCCGGGATGGAGGGAGGAGGCTGGAAAGGGAATTGGGACAGGCTGGGTTGCAGAAAACCAAAGCTGGTGTTCTGGGCGAGCAGGCAAAGGGTGTTTTCCACCCCCTCCTTGATGGAGATGAGCCAAGGGGTCTGGCTGAGCTTTGTGAGCCAGAAGACAGACTGAGCTGCTGGAACAGGCTCTGTGCAGATGAGAAAGGAAAATGCATGAAGTGATCTATGGACCAGCAGCAGCTGCCAGAGGAGTCACTGGCACGTCCTTCCTGGCCTGTGCGTGAGACTAGGGCTGGAGCTGGGCAGCTGCTGCCTCCAGTGACCCGCTCACGTGAAGGTGAGCATCACTGTATGCTTTATTGGAAAGGGTGCTGTGGTTGCCTTGGAATGAGGATGCCTTTCCTGAAATTGCTGCATCCAGACACACACACACTGCTAAAATGACAGCACATCTGGGCCTGCCAAGCAAAGCAAACCCCGTGGGAGCCCAGATGGCTTTCCCCGGTTCAGCTGGTCAGCCTGCAGGATTGTGCGAAGATGGCTGCTCACCTCGATGGTGCCCTGTCCTTTGCCTGAGCCGTGGACATGGCCATGAGGGTGACCCTGTTGAGTAAGCCCTGGGGAGCCAGCGAAAGCCTGGCTTTGGCAAGACACTGGGTGTCCTTACCCTGCCCCGTGCCGCTGTCCCACAGTGCTGTGCAGCGCAAGGTAAGGTTGGGTGGCACGGGTGGCTGCTGATGCAGGCAGGGGTTAAGCTGTGTGCAGCTGCTTGTGTGTAACCTAGGAAATATTAAAGTAAATAAACTGGGAACAGCTGTTGGGCAGCAGCCAGGGCTGGAAGGAAATGGAGCTTGGTGCTTCCTTCTCCATAGTATCTCTTCTTCGCTGATGCTCCAAGGTGGTGAACAAGCTCATGCTTTTGTTTGCTGTAAAGGGGGCACAGTCTTTTGGGGTTTACATGTGATGAACTGGTGCCTCCAGCTTTGCTGTTTCCCTGGGCTGCCTTGCTCCTCATGGGGCATGGCTTATAGGGAAATAGTGGCTGTTCTTCCTCTCTTCCTCCCCTTCCATCTTGGCTGGAGCTGTGCATTCTTCTAGATGGAAAGCATCGGCACTGGATGCTGTCTGGAGCCAGAGAATCAAACGGGCTCTGCAAAACACCCTGGAGCACCTTTAAAGGCAGAGGTGCTTTATATATTTGTACCATGCTACAGATGGGAAAGCGTAAAGCAAACATCTACACCCTTCCCTGTTCCCTGCAGCTTTTTCTTTTTTTAAAAAAAGTAACCACTCCTTTTTGGCTCTGTTGAAAGGATGAATGAAATTGTGGTTTTTCCCTTCCTTCCCCCTTATCGCACATGCTTCCTGGTGTCCTTATTTTAAACTTGTGGTGCAGTACAGTGGAAATTGGATTGAAAGGCGAGGAGTGAAACAGATCCTCTTAGCACAGTGGAAAAAAATGCTCTAGGTAGGCTTGGTAGCACTGACTGTTGCCATTGCTGGAGGCCTTTATTATATGACTTTTGGATGATTATTCATGCCAATTTTAGCTCTTCAGGCAGAAATTTTCCATGCTGGAAATTATTCATGCCTCTGGTTATTAAAAAACAATACAAAACAAAAAAACCCACAAAATAACTGTTTGGCTAAAATTGTTCGGCTGCTTCTCAAAACATGGTAAGAAGGAAAAATATTTTCCCCAGGTCCAGTTCTGATTATCTTTTTGATGCACTGGAGGTAGAATTGGAAAGTTGAGTCGCAGGTGATCCCTATTTTAAGAATCTGTCTTTTATGTTGTCCAGTGAAAATTTATTCATACTCAGGGCCTTAAGCAATGGCAGTACATGCATGTTTGGGTAGAGATATTTTTTGATTTAATACCTGTGTTCCCAGTGATTCTGGCTGCACTTCCCATTGTCTTGCCAGATGCTGAGCAGGGTTTTGTTTTTTCAGTAGCAGCTCTGGCCACATTTGGGTGAAGTTTGGTGCACCAATCTTTTGCTGTCAGTGGCCCTCCTGCGAAGCCCAGGCAGGAGGACAAGGAAGCCACTTGATCCAAGTAGGAGAGAGGAGGAAAATCCTTGGGGCAGGAGTGAGTGCTGGTGGGGGCTGACCCCCGGGCAGATGTGGTGCTGCAGTTCAGAGCAGCCCAGGCGCGGCCGTCTGAATGGTTGGGCATTTTCTCCTGATATTCCCTGTGGGGCCACAGCTGAATCACTTGTCACCTTTCATTGTGGCCAAACAATTATTTTAGGAGTAGGGCCAAGTAAAACACATGCACACTAACTACTGACAGCCTCCACTGCGACCGGAGGGCAAAGTGTCCTTCCCTCCCTAGCCAGGCAGCAGTGACACAAACTGCCAGCTCAGCTGAAACAGGAGTGAAGCCTGGAGTTTGCCCAGTGCTGGTCTCTGCCTCCGCTGGGATTGCAGGGACGTCACAGCAGCCATGTTCCCCATACTGAACTGGGGGATGTTGAAAGGCACCGTGCTGGCTGCAGTAATGCCGCAGGCTGTGCTGTTGTCAGCTGGGAGCGTGCAAGGTTTTGTCTGAATACTCTTCCCTTTGCCTGTCATTGGTACCTGAGACTGGCCCTCTTCTGCACAAGTCCTGATTTACAGCAATGAGCTGTAAACTATCCTGCTTTTCTCTTCCAAGAGTGACAAGAGCTCCTTTTTTGGCTGTTTTCATTTTCCTTTGACCACACCATGGGCCATCCGCTGGTCATGCAGGAGATTGGCACCTCCTCTCTAATGGCCAGTGCCTGACACTCGTTCTGCAATGCAGCTCATGTCCCTTCACGGGACACAGGCTGCTTCCTCCTGTCCCAGTCCAGCTTTTTGAGCCGATGAAGTGGTGGCCCTCATCCCTTGGGAAGCATGCAGGTCTTACCCTTTCCTGCTCTGGGGTCCTCACAGGAAGGCTTGGCATACCATGCCAGGCGGTGAAACTGGGAGAGGAATGCTTGAGCCAACTCTACACTGCTCATTGCAGGAGGAGACTTTTAGCAACCTGGGCAGTGCTGAGGGGTGCTTTTGCTGTGTAGATCCTCTGTGCTCAGGTTCCTGCCCTCTCTCTTCCTTCCTCCCTCCATAAACATTTTGTATCACACAGTGATTTACATAAAAGCAACTTTTTAGGATTAAAAAACAAAACCCTAGATGAAATTGTAGTTCTGAAGTTTGTAACCCCAGGTAACTGTATGATTTGTAGTAAATTTGTAACTAAAAATACTAAACTCAGGTCTGCATGAATCTCTTGGCTGGAGGAATAGGGTTGAAGCTTTTTCATAACACTCAGTGTGCCAGATGTGAACTATTGGGAGCAGATGGATGCTGTTCCTAAGAAATAAAGGCAAAAGATTGATGCTTGCAAGGATGCCAGTTGTATTCTGGACACTAATTGCAGCTGGCAGGTATGCTGGAAATGCTAGCTGGCATGGGAGTTGGTAATCAGATATGTGAGCGGCTGTCTCTGGTGGACAGAGATAGAGGATCGGGATCCTGCATGCCCGAGAGATGCTTCCAGCCCTGCCAGCAGGAGAAGAGCCGTGCTGTGGCTGCAGGGCTCCACTGGAGCTCATTGGATGCATCGCCCAGGAGGAGTTTAACACGTCTTTTGGAAGGGTCGTCTTGAAACCATTGGCTGTGAGGAGCGGCACTGTTGGTTAGAGAACAGATACTGGCTTGTATTTTGTGTTTTTTTATGGAAACCCCAAAAAAGAAACATTTTTTCCCCACTCTGTAATTATGAGCTCATCAGCCACGATGGTAGTCATTTCAAGGCTTCATGTGACCAAGAGCTGCTGTTGTCTTGCTACGCTCCTAAAACATCTTTACACCCAAACCCAAGCCTTTTACACCTTTCCTGCTGTTACCAGACCCCCTTGCTTTCCCCAGGCAGGAGCCCTGCTCCGTGACCCCAAGGTCAGACCTTCCTCTGCTTCTCAGCTGCAGCCACGCTCTGCTCGACCAGGGGGTCTTTGCCTGGCTCTTTTCAGTCCTGTCTTACTTTGCATCCTGGACAGCAAAGCTCATGAGCTGCTTGCAGGCTGTGATAGAGCTGGGTCTCAGACCTCCTCTTTGGAGCAGGCTTTGCTGTTCACATTGTGTCCTGCCTTCTCGCTACTGAAGCCAGAGCTTCTCCTCTGGGAGACAGCTGAAAGCCCTTAAAAATCACATTGCCATTCAGGGTTTCCCTTCCTGGAGACAGGTTGCCCCAGGGCTTCTCCCCTTACAGTCAGAAACCTTGCCTTTGGTCCTAGTCCCAGCTGAAGGCTGTAGGAGAAGGTGATGCTGCATGGCTGCTCCTCTGCATAGTGGTTTAATTTGAGCTAAGGAATGGAGACGTGCTGTAGGCTGGAGCAAGGGTGCTTGCGGTGTGGTTC